CCAGCTTGTTACATGTTTATGTATACCTAAAAATGAATGGGTAAAGTTGTTGTCATGTGATTAGAAGGTAATGAATTTGAGTTATGAAAATAATATTGATTATACATAAATGTAGGATAAGACTACATCAATAAACCCTTGTGATTTGACCTTTTTCCCGAACCCCATGCATAACAATAACTTAATTAATGGATCGGACTATCATTTTTTTCCCTCTAGAGCTTCTTTAGAGAGAGTCCCTACTTATGGAAACTAATATTTTGGACCACCGATCCCTTTGACATAATCTCAGTTGTGTAAACACTACAACAACAATAGCTTTTAGCGAAAATAAATATACACATCAACAAAGAGGGTTAATGCCTTTACTAGTATTAGTTAAATGCCATTGGATCCAATGTCGCTATAGGCTTTAGTAACACTTACAAAGAGTTCTAATTTCCGCTAAAAATACATATTTAGTGGCGCTGTTGCCGCTAATGAATTTGGTATAGTGAAATGATATGGCAGTTTGATCGTGGAGTGACACCCGTGCAAGAGCAAAAGATGCAATTAGGGTGAAGAAATGGATAAAAATTAGGATAAAGTATAGAAATCTCATACATTTGGGGCTACTTACATACCATATTTCCAAAAGTTTTTCCAATTACAAAATTTCTTATTTTCAATCAGTCACGGATACATTGCAAACAATACATTACTTAAGATTTTGCTACTTTAAAAAGGAAAATAACGGAAAATAAGTGTCGAATACATTCCTTTATTGTCGGATGCATCGGTCTCTACTATGTTGCAAGATACATTTGTCTCTACTCTGTTGTTAGATACATTGATCTCCATATACATAGCCTTTTAAGATAAATAACAGTGGATGTATGTACTGGTTAATAAAATATAATGAAATTTGTCATAATTGTGTATATGATACATAACTATGAACATGATTCATACTGATTTATGTTTGAAATAATTGAGGTTATGTATCAATAATAAGATTTGTACACGATACATTGTACACAAACAATGTTATAATATATTTGATATTTGAACCATGAACATGATACATAAGTAACGAAACAAAAGATGGAAGAAACTGATGATACATGGCGAAATTGTAGGCTTGAATTTAGGGGAGTTAAGTGTGGAGTGGGGAGAATGAGAGGGATGTATCCGAGGTTAGGAGAGAGAAGGAAAAAAATATATTTTTGTAATTTTTTAAGTGGTCAGGAATACTAGTGATTATGGTATCTTAAGTTGTATATTTATGTAATTTTTTCTAAAATTTATGGTTATTTATTCAACCAAATTCATTTTAAATGAGTTAGTTATCCAATCATTTGAAAATGGTCCAAATATGGATCAACTCATATTCTTCATCATAAAATACAAATAATTCATGGGTATATATCCACCAATTGCACTCCCCTTAAAGTATGTAAGGGCATATGAATCTTTTTTTTTTTTGACTAAATTTGGATAACACACTGCAGGGTCATTTGGGGATGATACGTCCAACATGATTTTCTTCATACTTAGGGCTCAAATTTGAGACCTCTGGTTAAGGAAGGATCAGTCTCACCACTGCACCACAATCCATGTCGGCTGGTGTAGGAACCTCTAAAATATACATTTATTAAGGATGTGTTTCGCATGAAGAAAAATATTTAAAATATTTTTCAATTTTCTTATGTTTGGTTAGTTTTGAATCTTTTGATAAATGATTTTTTTTTCAATTAATTTAAGAAAAATGACTTTCATGCCTAAGGAAAAGATATTTCAAAACTTTCCTTAAATTAGGAATATATTTTTTAAAATATTCCTTAAACATCACTACCCTAAACTGGTCTAGAATTAGGATTTCACTTCTAACCCCGACCCAACTCCTGACCACGAACGAAGACCCGAATTTTGACCACCCAACCTTGACTCAAGACACTAATTTTTCAAAAAAAATATTTTTTAGAAAAACATGAAAGTATTTTCTTTCATACGAAAGACATCCTAGAAGGAGAAAAAAAAATTTCAAAAAAATCTTGTAATATAGAAATACATATTTACTTTGCATAATAAGAAGCAATGAATAATATGGATGAGTTTACTCATTTTAATTCATGTCAAATATGGGTTGGGATCAAATATTTTATTCGTTTTCATCTGACTTATTTTTGACCAACTCATATATCTGACTCGACTTACCCGTTTATCACCCTTAGACGCAGTATATCTTCATTGTGATACGTTCCTTAAATCATTACAAATAAATTTGATCCCAAATTTCATTTTCAATGTACCTATATAGTAAAAATGCAATATTAGGCACAACTCACTATAAGTAACTACACTCAAACCACGATTAAAAGTATTTATAAATAAAATGATGAATTATGAAAACATGTTAGATAGTACTTTATCTGTTTCAATTTATTTGTTTTACTTTTCTAATAAATCTGTTTTAAAAAGAATGTCTTTTTTATTTGGGCATGTGAAGAAGAAATTAAATGCTCCATTGAGGAAGTGTGAGAGGTTGGAATAGTGAGTACGATCGAATAGAGGTAGAGGTAGGTCGAAAAAAATACTGGGAGAGGTGATTAGACAGGACACAATAAAACTTCAGCTTACTGAGGACATGACCATAGATAGGAGGGTGTGAATGTCACAAATTAGAGTAGAATATAATGCTAGTATGTAGTGAACTAATGTCTTTCTTCTTGACGGGTTAAAGTTTGGTGGTGTCTGCCCTAGTGATAGCTTTATTCTTGTAGTGTCTTGTTTGCTATTTTCTATCAGCATTTGTTATTTATGGTGTTTCGATTAGTGCTTTATTATGTTGTTGTTATAACTATTTCCGTATTAATTGCTATGTTTTCTTAAGTATCGTTTTCTCTTTTCACTTACTTTGATTTGTTATACTCGAGTCGAGGGTCCTCTGAAAACAACCTCTCTACCGCTATGAGATAGTGATACAGTATGCATACAATCTACCCTTACACCTCACTTGTGGAATGTCACTGAATATATTATTGTTGTTGTTGCTGCATAAACTAACATGTTGTCTTTTATCTACTATATTTAAAGGAATTAACTAGTATTTATTCATGGAGTAAAGAATTTTATATTATCAACTATTTTGCTATAATACATGGCTTAAATTATGAATCAATTATTAATTTTGAATTGATATTTAGAATTTGTTGTTTAGTTTATTCTAAATTATAGCGTGAAAAGGTAAAATAGAAGCTTTTTTGAGTTACTTACTTTAAATAGCGGTAAACATCAATTTGGGAAAAGCATTTTAGGAGCTCATTTGAATTTCTTTTTGGGTAAAACTTATCCTCACTGAGTGTATACACCAATCCAATATATGCATGCCATGTGTTTAAATTTATAGTTCATTTTACTTAACCTTAATTAATTAACATGTGTTTTACTTCATTAAATCATATAATAATAGAAATTGCATTAGTTTGGTGTAAACATCCGATGCGGATAAGTTTTTTCTTTTTTTTTTGTTAATAATAAATAGTTATGTTGGAGAAAGGTACTAAAATATATAAGGCCCCAATTAATAATAAATAGTTTGTGTTAGAGATAAAAAATCGTCAAAACAATATGCTTAACAACAGTACCTTTTAAATAAATCTAAACACAAATTATTATTATTTTTAAAAATATTTTTCTGAAAAAATTATTTTAATAAAAGTGTTTACAAAAATAAATAAACTCAAACTTATAGGTTAAACAACCCGTAAGTTCAACATACTAATGACGTAAAAAAAACATATTCAAATAAAGTTAATCATTAGATAAATATCTTGATAAGCCATAATTAAGAAGGAAAAAAAAATCTACAAACACTTTTTAATTTACCTAAACACTTCAAAAGTACTTAAAATTAATTTCACTTACAAATACTTAAAACAAGTCAATTCAAACATACTCTATTACTCTTAATCAAACACTGTCACTATATTCTCAGGGTCATTGGTGTAAGTCGAATTTTTTTTTAGGCTTTTTTTGTATTGTTTATGTGTTTTTTTATTTTTCGGCCATTTTGGGGCTTTTACGTAATATTTTGCCATTTTCGGGTAGTTACGAAAAGAAGTAAAGTTTTGTTCTCTTATTCATCACGATATTTTAAGGTCATTGGTGCAAGTCGAAATTTTTTTGAGGCGTTTTTTGTATTATTTCTGTAATTTTCTTGATTTTTCGGCCATTTTGAGGCATTTACGTAATATTCGGCAATTTTCGAACAATTACAAAAAGAAGTAAAATTTTGTTCTATTATTCGTCATAATATTCTAAGGTCATTGGTGCAAGTCCAAATTTTTTCTGAAAAATTATTTTAATAAAAGTGTTTACAAAAATAAATAAACTTATAGGTTAAACACCCCCGCAAGTTCAACATACTAATTACTTAAAAAAACATATTCTAATAAAGTTAATCATTAAATAAATATCTTGATAAACCAAAATTAAGAAGAAAAATCTACAAACACTTTTTAATTTATCTGAACACTTCAAAAGTACTTAAAAATTAATTTCACTTACAAATACTTAACAAGTCAATTCAAACATACTCTATTACTCTTAATCAAATACCGTCCAAGTTCAATGTACTAATAATGTAAAAAAAATCATTAAATAAATTTCTAGATAAACCATAATTGGTAATCTAATTACTCATTTTCTTAATTCATAAAGAAAAAAATCTATACACTTTTTTAATTCACCCAAAAACTTTAAAAGTACTTAAAACTCATTTTTTCTTAAAAAGTACTTTAAGTAATTTAAACAAACTCATAATCAAACATCGTCCAAGTTCAATGTACTAGTTCGTGAAAAAAATAAAATCAATAGGAAACACATTTTCAATAAAACATTTAAAATTCAAATCTAACAGTGTTTGACCAAATTCGATTTTGTTACCAAATTTTGTAAAAAATAAATATTTTTCCATAGGTAGCTTTAAAAAAAATAGCATAAATATATGATGATAATAATAATAATATAATAAAATATTGAAATAATATTTACAAAAACTGAATTTTGACCATGATAAGAGTGAACCATTCATCTAGTAGCGAAGAAGAAGAAGAAATGGCGAGATTTTCAGTTGGAAGAGAAGAAGATGATAATGATGAAGGACCCAGTAACCCCACAAGAAGACCTGAACCCAAGAGACGCAGAACTACCGCCGGAACTTTCTCTTGTAGCGCCGTTATCCGTCAACAAGAAGAAGAAGAAGAAAGAGAAAGGGAAAGGGAAAGGGAAAGGGAAAGGGAAAGGGAAAGGGAAAGAGTTGTTGAGGAAGAAGTAGAGGAGGATGCAGAGGAGGAGGCAGAGGAGGAGGAGGATTGGGGATCGGAATCGGAATCTGAGGGAAATTTCCGATCGGGCGGTGATCGGAGAGTGCCGGTTCGTGAATCGGAGGTTTCAAGAGAGAACAGGTCCTTTTCTGTGGAGGACCCAGACCTGAATTTGGAGGGTTCAAGAGGAAACGGGTCAATTTCTGTGATGTTATCGGATCCGGATGTGTTGGATTGCCCAATCTGCCTCGAACATCTCCGTGTTCCAATCTTTCAGGTTTCTTCTTTTTACCCTTTTCATTGCTATTAGGAGTACAAGAATTTATCTGTTGGAATTAATTGTGTTTGGAGAATTCTTGATTTGCCTTGGAGGTTTTTGAATGAAATGGGCTTGAATAGAAGGGAATTCATATTGACATTTATAATCTGACCCATATAGTTTATTGCTCTAAAGGAGGTGTAAAAGTTCCCTTTTTTGTTAATCCAACAGGTGGGGTTTGGGAGGATAGAGTTTACACAGACTTTAGCCCTACCTGGCGGAGGCATGTCAGATAATAGAGATATGATTACTTAGCATTCAGTATTGCATTGAAAGAGCTTAGGAAATGTGGATCTGTTAAAGAGCTGACAGAGGAATGACTACTTTAGGTGTTTATCCCATCTCATGTGGTTTGAATTTTGAAGTTATAACATTTCATTCAAATTGGAGAATAACTGGCTAGTGTAGGTCTTTGTTTTACTGCTGAAGTCATAGTCTTAATGTCGTAATATTCAAGTTAGAGGAATCACTAGGGTACGGTAGTGGAGTATAACAAGACACTTAAAGTGGGTAGAGGGCTACCAGATTCCGATTAGAGATAACAAATGGGTATCATTGTACCCCGATTTAATGTGGGCTTAAGTTACTCTGTAATTAGGCTCTCTTCTTCCCTAAAGGTTATTGTTGTGTTTGCTAAGATCCCTAATACCCAGACCTCCCTGTTCCTCTGGTAATATGACTTTGACCTCCCATAAATAGATATCCCTGCCCATAGGAATGTCCTTCTCAGACCAATTAATTGCTCTTTCACCTCCCATAAATAGATATTGCATGTTCTCCACCTTTTCCACCACTCCATTCCGTATCTCAGGTGCTTTGTATTTTGCACCCAAAGGGAGACCAAAATAAGTAGTGGAAAGAGCATGTGTCATACCCCAGAGTTCCGTGCCAGGGTATTCAAATTTTAGACTTCATTGATAGGGTAGATCTTGCTCTTCATCATGTTAATATGTAGTCCAGAGACAACTTCAAATAGCATGGGAGTTAGATTTAGATATAGAACTTGGAGAGTCTCTGCCCCACAAAAGAATAGGGTATCATCAATGATAGAAATTATTAACTGTTTACTATTCCTTTGTTTGAGATCTATCTCATAGAAGTTATTAACTATTTACTATTCTCATGTTGGAGATCTATCTGATAGAAGTCATTAACTGTATACTTTTCCTTTATTGGAGATCTATCGTGATAGAAGTTATTAACTGTATACTATTCTTCTGTTGGAGATCTATTGTGATAGAGGTTATTAACTGTACATTATTCCTTTGTTGGAGATCTATCGTGATAGAGGTTATTAACTGTACACTATTCCTTTTTTGGAGATCTGTCATGATAGAAGTTATTCACTGTATACTATTCTTCTGTTGGAGATCTATCGTGATAGAGGTTATTAACTGTACACTATTCCTTTGTTGGATATCTATCGTGATAGAAGTTATATAGAGGTTATTAACTGTACACTATTCCTCTTTTTAGAACTCTTGGTTTTAGCTCACAGTAACTTCAGATTTAATCTTGTTACTGCATTTGATGGCATAGACAACTGAGATTCAGATCCTAAGATCTACATCCTTCTCCTTGCCAGGATGGTTAATTTCTATCTTTTTTCATCTAAGAGTTGCAGAACAGCCACAATGGTTTTACACTAAGGTAGAATATAGCTATTGGTAATCAATTTATTGTTATTACAACAAAATATGACATTTTAATGCATGAGCATGTTTAAATGAAATTATTGAGTGTTTTGAACTAAGCAAGAAATGATGAAGAGCAGGACTCTAGGGATGTGACAAATGCTAATATGAAAGGCTAAGTAGTGAAGTGAAAGTGGATGTATGTGCCTTTTGAACCTAGCAAGAAATTAAAGCCATGACTGTAGGTTTATACAAAAAGCTAAATAGTGAATTTTAAGTGCAATTTGTTTATGCTTTCCATGTAACACATTTTTCTTTTTCCTTACTTCTTAAGCTGTGTACTTTGAGAAACCTTGAAATTTATAAGCAAGCAGAGTAGAGTAAGCTGCCATCTGCAAACATTCAAACTGCTTACTATGAACATATTTTCTGACATTCTTTTTTCTTTCTGGACAAAAATATAGTGTGAGAATGGGCACATAGCATGTGCCTCCTGCTGCACCAAGATTGCTAATAAGTGTCCATCATGCTGTTGGCCAATTGGATATAACCGTTGTCGAGCTATGGAGAAGGTTGTAGAATCTGTGAAGGTCTCATGCGTGAACAAAATGTATGGTTGCAAGGAGATCCTGAGTTATAGTAAGAAAACTGACCATGAAAATGCATGCATCTATGTGCCTTGTTCTTGTCCTTTCCATGGCTGTGACTTTATAGGTACTTCAACAAATGTATATGCACATTTTAGCGACAAACATGCTTCTTCGGCAGAGCACATTTTTTTCAATGCTGTCCATCCAATTCATATAGAAAAAGATCAAAGTTACAAAATTCTTCAAATGAGGACAGAAGGTATACTTTTTATCATCAACCATGCTAGCGACCGTGTTGGAAGTGCTTTCAACATTATCTGTGTTGGACCAGCTAGGCAGAAGAGAAGGTTCTCGTACAAGCTTGTAGTAACAGACGGGGAAAGCTCCTTTAAACTAGAATCTGTTGCAGAGTGCATCCTAAACTGGTCAGAAAATAGTCCTTTGAAAAAATTCCTCGTGGTCCCAAGAGATGTCGTTAATTCCAGTGCTCCGCTGAAGTTGAATGTTTTCATAGAAGAGAAGGAATACGTCTGCAATGGTTGCAGATGTTGATGTAATCTTATTTTATCATACCTTGCTAACTTCTTTAGAAATTTTATGTCAAATAGTTATTGGATTGGTGCTGCTATATTTGGGGATTTGAATTTGTGCTGTTGAATGTCAAAATATTGTTATGCTATAGTAGTTTGTTTAGCCTTGCTTCTTAAATCCCAAAAGTGTTTATTTCAAAATTGCTTTGTTAAAATGTACTGCTTACCAAGAAGTAGTTTGTGTTTGGTCAATAAATTTTAGATGCACTTTTCTAAATATATTTTTCTCTAAACTGATTTCGAATGCCAAATATGTGAGTAAGTATTTCTAAATATATTTTTCTCTAAATTAGTAGTACTTTTGGGTAATGCAGGTGGTAACAACAAAGGAAATGACCAATATAGGTTGTGGTGCAAGCACCACCATTGAATGGATCCTACAATGCGTGATCCAAATTTAATCTAACTATAATACGAATTTCGAACACCAAATAAAAAAACCAAAAAGTAGAAAAAGAAAAACAACAGAGGAAACGGGCTAAACCCGGTGCCCGATTGTACTCTTCCTCTTTACCGATGAAAAAAATCAAATTAAAGCAAACAACCTAAAGGTACAACCCTAATCAGCACAAAAAAGAAGATAATCGAACGCCTGAATTCCCCGGAGGCCGACGAGTTCGCCCCCATCTAGTCGTCGATCAACTTCCGTCACCGTTCATAGCTGCCGGAATCCTAGTATAATCGACATGGTTGAGGTTGAGGCTTCTCCACCTGATGTCACCACACAATGACAATGGTTTCAATTCTCAATTTCCTTCGATTTTTCATCTTGCTTTGTGCCTTATATTACCTTATATTTTGTTGTTTTACAGTCAATTTTCGATTTCTTTGTTTTTGCCGAACAGCAGCATCCACTTATTGTTCATCAAAGATCATTTGGTTCTCTGTCAGTTTAAAATAGCTTAAACTTTGAAGTTTCTCTTTTTTCTTTTCATGAAATGATGTATAGCCATGCAAATGTCTAAGACATGTTTTTAGACTATCTTATTGGCCTTACAGCGGGCCTAAGAGCAAGGAAGTCTCAACTCCCCAATCCCCCAGGGTGAGGGGTGAACCTTCTGTCTGATTCAATCTCATCTATTGCTGCTTTCGAATCGGCAAATTGGGATGAAGGAGTAGGTAACTGCTAAACTGTTTGGAAGAGGAAAAACAGAGTTCCTTAATGTTACTTCACCAATTGGTACTTTTAGAACCTAGTGTAATCCTACAACTGGGTCTGGAGAGGATAATATGTGCGCAACCTTACACCTATCTTTATGGGTAGAGAGGTTGTTTCGATTGACAGTCGGCAATCCTCCTTTATCCGGGCTTGGGACGGGCAATTTGAGCCAGCTCACACAGGTGAAGTTGTAGTGAACAGAGCACAAGACGTTTATATCACATTTAAAAGATGATGTAGGAAAATGGAACAATCTAATCTGGGTACGGTATATTTAGTCATTTGTGCCTGAATGTATGATAGTCCAGGTTTTCTTTCGTGGAGTTATTGACTTGTAGAAGTACTAGTGGGATTCTAAAGAGACTGAGGATATCTACCATGTAAAAATGATGACTTTATCTATAAAGTAAGGACATGATATATCAAAGTGCAAGTATCAGCTCTGCTTGGCTGTTTTGTATTGGACTATCAGCATATTTCACTCCACTACATGGTTTAATAGCATATCAGTCACAAAACAAATGCACTGTTTATTAAGGAAATTGGCAATATGAAGAAACTGACATTGAGGAGTAGCTGAATCTTCACGAATTAGCAGTACGAAGAAGCCTAACATTTAGGAGTGTATGCATAATACTGCAGCCGGCTTGCAGACATGTTTTCAGCTGATGCTGTAGTTGGGAGCATCATAGCATATAACAGTCACATTTGCTAAATGTGATAAAATGTTCATTTTCTGTACAGTCAAAATAGTTCATTTTTTTTCCGGATTCTATGTGCTTTGGTGTCATCTTCGTGATTTGACTCGTTTGTAACATTGTTGGCCTTGTGGAGTTTTAGCATACATGTTTTCGTGTTCTTTTATTTTAAGGTGGATGGGTATTATAGGTAACTGAATTTCTCCATTCTTTAATTTTAAGGTGCCTAGTGAAGGAGAATTTGCAACGGGAAAGAGGATGTATCAAGGTATTAGTGAACCTGAAGGGAGTAGAAAAAAGAAGAAAAAGCAAGTAGCCACTCCTCATCCTACTTGCTCTTGGGTGCACTTCAGGTGACATGTTTATTTGAGTAAATACCTTATATTTGTAACTTGTTTATCTAATTTCCACTGCTTTTGAACCACCATGTTCTGCTAACACTGAGAATAATATTTGCAGCTGTGGCTTTATTAAAAAGCATAGTGCTACAACACATCCTGAATCTTTAGGCCTGAAAGCTGTAAGAATCTATTTCTATGTATGAAATGCCTTAGTGTACACCTGTTTGTTACACTCAAGCATGCTAGTAAGAGCACATCACTTTTCAGGCCACAGAGATGGAAGCTGATGGGTCCTGAGGAGAAGGTAAAGTACACTACTCGTGCCTGCAAAGTGTGGGATAAGTACCTGAGCAGGTTAAACTCCCCCCCGAATGTTTTCTTTATATGATGATGAAACTGGCAACTCTAAGAATGTTTAATATCTTTGACTTCTTATGTCCAACTTTATTGATTTTCAGTTAACGCTTCCGCTTCTCTATATGTGATATTGTCGTCTGCTTCAGGTATGTTCTCTGTAACATCTTTTGATAAGATTACCATGTTTAAGATCCTTATATACATTAAGTTTATGTGATAGCATGAACACCTGTGCTTAAAGCTTATGTTTACATGTATTTCTTTGGTTAATTCCGATCCATTGATGACATTCGTTCCTTTGTCATTAACTCTGATCATGTCAGTGATATTCTTAGGTGATTTTGGAGTTGTTTAGCGTGATTCTAATATGATGCTAAAATCTCTAAAAACACGTCGCCAATCAATCTATTTATACACTGCACCAAAAAAAGAAAGTCATAATAAAATCCTAACTTGTTCATCAAATTACAAATAGAAAGCTTACACATATATGTAACAAAAGATATAACTAAATTTATAATACTAAATTTAGTTTAACTGGCAACTATGACCTTTAACTTTGGATGTGCACAAGTAGACACTTAAACTTGTATAAAATTGAACAAATAGACACATTCGTCCTACATGACATCCTATATGACAATTTTGTGTCCTATGTGGCGTCCTACATGTATTATGTCATGTAGGACACGTGTGTCTACTTGTTCAATTTTATACAAGTTTAAGTGTCTACTTGTGCACACTCAAAGTTGGAGGGCATAGTTGTCCGCTGAAGCCAAGCTAAAGGTCATGTTTATGTATTATGCCTTACATTTAATATACACCTTTAATGTGTGAAAAGACTTGTAAAAATACAATATGATACGAAGGATAATGCATATTTTCCCCTTTTTCTCAGTGATATTTATGTGATAATTCAAAGTTGAATGACTATCGGTAAAATTTACTCTTACATAAATTAACATGTTTGGGCATGTGAAGATTAGATGCACAGATGCTCCATTGAGGAGGTGAGAGAGGTTGGATATAGTGAGTACGATCAAAGAGAGATAGAGGTAGGTCGAAAAAGTACTTGGAAGAGGTGATTAGACGGACACAACAAAACTTCAACTTACCGAGGACATGACCTTAGATAGGAGGGTGTGGAGGTCACAAATTAGAGTAGAAGCTTAGTAGGTAGTGAAGTGTTGTCTTGCTTCTCGACGGGTTAGGTTTGGTGGTTCCGCCCTAATGTTAGCTTTATTCTTGTAGTGTTTTATTTTCTATCACCATTTGTTATTTATGGTGTTTCAATTAATGCTTTATTTTGTTATTGTTACTATTTCCGTTTTAGTTGCTATGTTTTTTTTAGTGTCGATTTCCCTTTTCACTTACTTTGATTTGTTATACTCAAGCCGAGGGTCCTCCGAAAACCTCTCTACCTTACGAGATAGTGATAAGGTGTGCATACAATCTACGTTCATACCTCACTTGCGGGATTTCACTGAATACATTATTGTTGTTGTTGCATAAACTAACATATTATCTTTTATCTACTATATATTTAAAGGAGTTAAATAGTATTTACTCATGGAGTAAAGAATTTTATATTATTAATTAATTTTTGATGACATATTACTTAAATTATGAATCAATTATTAAATAAGAATTAATGTTTAGGATTATTTTTTTTCAAGGCAAAGTACTCTACAATTTATACATTTTTACTAATATATCCCTTCTTAATTAGTTAGCATATCCCATAAGTTTGGTCAAGTTTCATTTTAGAATTTTATCCTTCATCTACACAATATTTTATTTTATTTTACATTTTATATATTACTATTTTATATTTTAATTTGTGGAATATTTTTTTAATTTATTTGACTTGATGTTTTTAATTATATTTAAATCATCATGTTAATATTTTTGTTTGATTTATCTTTTGAAAATTTATAATATGTACTTTTTAATCAAATAAACATAAACAATTAATTTATAATTTTATAATAGATATTCAAACTAGTTTTTTTTATATAAAAAAATCTTAATATTAAAAGTGCATTGGTAACTGTCCTTTTCATAATTTGACTCTCAAAAATACTTTTAAAAAAATATTAAAAGTGCTTAAAAAAATAAACATTTTCTAGCCGCTTGGCCAAATAGGTCAAACACCCTGCAAGTTCAATGTACTAATGACATTAAAAAACATAATTCAAATTAAGTTAGTCATTAAATAAATTCTTGATAAATTATAATTGGTAATCTAATTACTCATTTTCTTAATTCATGAAGAGTAAAAATCTATCAACTCTTTTAAATTTACCCAAACACTTCAAAACTGCTTAAAAATTATTTTCACTTGAAAACACTTAAAACAAGTCAATCCAAAAGACTCTTAATCAAACACCGTCCAAGTTCAATGTACTAATGACAAAAAAATATATTCACATAAAGTTAATCATTAAATAAATTTCTTAGTACACCATAATTGGTAATCTAATTACTCACTTTCTTAATTCATGAAGCAAAAAAATAATCTATAAACACTTTTTTAATTTACCTAAACACTTCAAAAGTGCTTACAAATTTTTTAGTTAAAAACACTTAAAACAAGTCAATTCAAACACACTCATAATCAAACACCGTCCAAGTTCAATGTACTAATGTGACATAAAAAATACATATTCAAATAAAGCTAATCATTAAATAAATTTCTTGGTAATCTGATTACTCATTTTCTTAACTCAAAAAAATAAAATCTATACAACTTATTTATAAATTAAATAAAACTATTATACCTCATAGTCAAACACTTTTTCAAGAAAACATTTAAATTCAAATCTCATAGTATTTGACCAAATTCGATTTTGTTACCAAATTTTGCAAAAACATAAATATTTTTCCATAGGTAGTTTCAAAGAAATAGTATAAATATATGATAATAATAATAATATAATAAGATATTGAAATCTGATTACTCATTTTCTTAACTCAAAAAAATAAAATCTATACAACTTATTTATAAATTAAATAAAACTATTATACCTCATAGTCAAACACTTTTTCAAGAAAACATTTAAATTCAAATCTCATAGTATTTGACCAAATTCGATTTTGTTACCAAATTTTGCAAAAACATAAATATTTTTCTATAGGTAGTTTCAAAGAAATAGTATAAATATATGATAATAATAATAATATAATAAGATATTGAAATCTGATTACTCATTTTCTTAACTCAAAAAAATAAAATCTATACAACTTATTTATAAATTAAATAAAACTATTATACCTCATAGTCAAACACTTTTTCAAGAAAACATTTAAATTCAAATCTCATAGTATTTGACCAAATTCGATTTTGTTACCAAATTTTGCAAAAACATAAATATTTTTCTATAGGTAGTTTCAAAGAAATAGTATAAATATATGATAATAATAATAATATAATAAGATATTGAAATAATATTTACAAAAACCGAATTTTGACCATGATAACAGTGAACCATTCATCTAGTAGCGAAGAAGAAGAAGAAGAGGAAGAAGAAGAAGAAGAAGAAGAAGAAGAAGAAGAAGATGAAGAAATGGCGAGATTTTCAGTTGGAAGAGAAGAAGATGATAATGATGAAGGACCCAGTAACCCTACAAGCAGACCTGTACCCAAGAGATGGAGGACTACCGCTGGAACTTTCTCTTGTAGCGTCGTTATCCGTCAACAAGAAGAAGAAGAAGAAAGAGAAAGGGAAAGGGAAAGGGAAAGGGTTGTTGAGGAAGAAATAGAGGAGGAGGCAGAGGAGGAGGAGGATTGGGGATCGGAATCGGAATCTGAGGAAAATTTCCGATTGAGCGGTGATCGGAGTGTGCCAGTTCGTGAATCCGAGGTTTCAAGAGAGAACAGGTCTATTTCTGGAGAGGACCCAGATCAGAATTTGGAGGGTTCAAGAGTAAACGGGTCAATTTCTGTGACGTTATTGGATCCGGATGTGTTGGATTGCCCAATCTGCTTTGAACATCTCTGTGTTCCTGTCTTTCAGGTTTCTTCTTTTTACCCTTTTCATTGCTATTAGGAGTATAAGAATTTACCTGTGTATATATGTTGGAATTAATTGTGTTCGGAGAATTCTTGATTTGCCTTAAAGGTTTTTGAATGACATGGTCTTGAATAGAAAGGAATTTGTATTGACATTTATAATCTGACCCATATAGTTTATTGCTCTTAAGGAGGTGTAAAAGTTACCGTTTTTGTTAATCCAACAGGTGGGGTTTGGGAGGATAGAGTTTACGCAGACTTTAGCCCTACCTGGTGGAGGCGGTTTTAAAAAATAAAATACAGAAGTAGAGCAGACATGTCAGATAATAGAAATATGATTACTTAGCATCCAGTATTGCATTGAAAGAGCATAGGAAATGTGGATCTGTTAAAGAGTTTAGTTGGGAGAATTGCTGACAGAGGAATGACTGCTTTAGGTGTTTATCCCATCTCATGTGGTTTGAATTTTGAAGTTATAACATTTCATTCAAATTGGAGAATAACTGGCTAGTGTAGGTCCTTGTTTTACTGCTGAAGTCATAGTCTTAATGGCGTACTATTCAAGTTAGAGGAAGCACTGGGTTATGATGGAGAATAATAAGACCCTTAAAGTGGGGAGATGGCTACCAGGTTCAATCAAGTTAATCCCATTCTGACTAGAGATTACAAATGGGTATCATTGTAAATGGGTTTCTTCTTTTTGCATCCCGATATAATCTGGGCTTAAGTTACTTTGTTATTAAGCTTTTTTCTTGCAAATTATCTGGTGACATAGTTTCTTCCCTAAATGTTATTGTTGTGTTTCGTAAGATCCCTAATACCCAAACCTCCCTGTTCCTTTGGCAATATGACTTTATCCCACTTCACAAGGTGGAATTTATGCTCTTCACGGTTTCCTTCCCATAGGAATGCCCTTCTCAGACCAACTAGTTGCTCTTTCACCTCATATGGCATTGGGATGAGGGACATGATGTAGGTAGGTATTCTGGCCAGTACACTATTGATGGGGTTAGCCTTCCTCCCATAAATAGATATTGCATGTTCCAGTTTGCCAGCGTTTTCTCCACCTTTTCCACTACTCCATTCCATATCTCAGGTGCTTTGTATTTTGCATCCAAAGGGAGACCAAAATAAGTAGAGTGGAAAGAGCATGTGCCATACCCCAGAATTCCGTGCCAGGGTATTCAAAATAGACTTCATTGATAGGGTAGATCTGGTTCTTCATCATGTTAATATGTAATCCAGCTTCAAACAGCTTGAGAGTTAGATTGAGATATAAAACTTGAAGAGTCTCTGCCCCACAAAAGATTAGGGTATCAGCAGTGATAGAAGTTATTAACTGTTTACTGATCCTTTTTGGAGATCTATCTGATAGAAGTTATTAACCGTATACTATTCCTTTTTTGGAGATCAATCGTGATAGAAGTTATTAACTGTATACTATTCTTTTGTTAGAGATCTATCGTGATAGAAGTTATTAACTGTATACTATTCCTTTGTTGGAGATCTAGCGTGATAGAAGTTATGTACCTAGGCCTCTTTTTAGAACTCTTGGTTTTAGCTCACAGTAACTTCAGATTTAATCTTGTTACTGCATTTAAAAGCATACACAACTGAGGTTCAGATCCTAAGTTCTACATCCTTCTCCTTGCCAGGGTGGTTAATTTCTGTCCTTTTTCATCTAAGAGTTGCAGAATAGCTACTATGGTTTTACTCTAAGGTAGAATATAGCTATTGGTAATCAATTTGTTGTTATTGCAACAAAATATGACATTTTAATGCATGAGCATGTTTAAATGAAATTATTGTGTGTTTTGAACGAAGCAAGAAACTTGAAGACCATGACTCTAGGGAATGACAAATGCTAATATGAAAGGCTAAGTAGTGAAGTGAAAGTGGATGTACGAGTCTTTTGGACCAAGCAAGAAATTAAAGCCATGACTCTAGGTTTATGGCAAATGCTAATACAAAGAGCTAAATAGTGAATTTTAAGTGCAATTTGTTTACGCTTTCCATGTAACACCTTTTTCTTTTTCCCTACTTCTTAAGCTGCGTACTTTGAGAAACCTTGAAATTTGTAAGCAGGCAGAGTAGAGTAAGCTGTGATCTGCAAACATTCTAACTGCTTACAATGAACATATTTTCTGACATTCTTTTTTCTTTGTGGACAAAAATATAGTGTGAGAATGGGCATATAGCATGTGCCTCTTGCTGCATCAAGATTGCTAATAAGTGTCCATCATGCTGTTTGCCAATTGGATATAACCGTTGTCGAGCTATGGAGAATGTTCTAGAATCTCTGAAAGTTTCATGCGTGAACAATAGGTATGGTTGCAAGGAGATTCTGAGTTATAGTAAGAACACTGAGCATGAAAATGCATGCATCTATGTGCCTTGTTTGTGTCCTTCCCATGGCTGTGACTTTATAGGTACTTCAGCAAAGGTATATGCGCATTTTAGCGACAAACATGCTTCTTCAGCAGAGCACATTTTTTTCAATGCTGTCCATCCAATTTTTATAGAAAAAGATCAAAGGTACAAAATTCTTCAAATGAGGACAGAAGGTATACTTTTTATCATCAACCATGCTAGTGACCGTGGTGGAAGTGCTATCAACATTATCTGTGTTGGACCAGCTAGGCAGAAGAGAAGGTTCTCGTATGAGCTTGTAGTAACAGATGGGGAAAGCTCTTTTAAACTAGAATCCGTTGCAGAGAGTGTGCCAAACTGGTCAGAAGATAGTCCTTTGAAGAAATTCCTTGTGGTCCCAAAAGATGTCGTTAATTCCAGTGCTCGGCTGAAGTTGGATGTTCTCATAGAAGAGAAGGAATGAGTCTGCAATGGTTGCACATGTTGATGTACCATATCTTCATGATGTAATCTTGGCCTGTTCATGTAACATTGCCTTGGTAACTTCTTTAGTAATTTTATGCCAATAGACAATAGTCATTGGATTTGTGCTTGCTATATTTGGGGATTTGAATTTGTGCTGTTGAATTTACTTTGTTCCTTATTTTGAAAGGATTTTTCATATTATGTTTGATATTGTTATGCTAGGGTAGTAGTATACTAATTGCATGTTTTGTCAAGTTTATAAAATTCGCTTATTTTGAAAGCGCTTTTCAAAAAAAGTATTTTTGGTTAGAACCAGTTTATGTTTGACCAATAATTTTTAAAAACACTTTGTGCAACAATTAGTGTTTAACCAAGCTTTTAAAAGTGTTTTTAAATGTATTTTTCCCAACCGTGCTTTTCAAAAGCTTACTTTTGAGTAAAAGCTATTCTTTTTAGCTTCTGCTACTAAACAAAAATGCTTATTTTTAATAAGAATAGTTTCTTGACCAAAAGAATGGTTATCGAATATAGTAATAATCTACTTCGATATGTTTGGTCCATTCATAAAAGAGTATTGCAGTCAGTAATATTAATTCATTCATAATCTACCATTGCAAATCTCTATTGTCGCGATAAATCATAACTGGACTCCCAATCATTATCTCTGCCACGGTGCACCCTAGCAACCAGCCTTGGAATGAAAACCAATACATGTTAGAGATTCTAGGGTGTCAACGTAGTTCCAGTCATAAATATATATATGTCATTCCTTCATTAACTCTCAATGACAATCCAAAAGTTAGCCAACTTCAACTTGTGCATCCCACCATGCACGTTCAGCATTATCGAACACCAAAACATTAGCGTGTTTAGTATATATCACAATGGACCCACCCTTTCTTATGAACGTGTTGAATACCTTTTAAGATCAGTTGATATGCATAGAAACCTATTTCCAGTTCTGATATTGTTGTGCTAGAGTATACTAATAGTTTGCTTGACCAAACTTTTAATATCAACTTATAAAGTGTTTATTTCAGAAGTGCTTTCCAAAAAATAGTTTTGGTAAGAAGCAGTTTGTATTTGACTTTTAAATTACAATTAGTATTTGACCAAGCTTTTAAAAGTGTTTTTAAGTATAATTTTTTTTCTCAAAAATACTTTTCAAAAAAGTATAATTGAGCAAACACTACTTTTTAGCTTTTGAAAAATAACTTGAATTACTCCGAAAAAACACTTATTTTCTCTCAAAAATTTAGATAAACACCTCATTTTTTAAAATAAAAAATAAACATTTTAATTTTTTTTAACATTTCACCTCCTAAAAGCTTGACCAAAATTAGACGAGAAAGTTGTGGGGTAACAGAGTTTACTAATGTCCATGGGATGAATTTTTAATTACTGTAGTCCTTAATTGGATGAAACAGTGGTTGACTTGGATTTCTTGATATCATAATGTAGCATTATCACCAGATGTGACCATTGATAAACTATTTGATGTTCCTATGTGGCTTTCTGCTCCTCTACAAGTACCTTTCGCCCAACATGATCACTAACGAAGACAGAGAATTGCGTAGATAGGAGGACGAAACGAACCAACCCACTTGTCCGGCCTCCCTGCTGTCCCCCCTGCCTGCACCCTCTATAACGGAACTATGTGGAAACCTTAATCTATTTACTTCCTTCTTTAATAAGATTGGAATGAGGAGTGACCTTTTATTGGACCTCGAGTTTTCATATCAAGCATGTTTGCCCTCAACTATTCAACTAGATATCTGCTATCTTATACCAAATCAAATACCATAGACATATTTGAAAAGTCATCTAGAAAATCTATATTTACCATATTTACATTTAATATCTGTCTCAAGTTGGTGCATATCATTCATTTTATGATGTTTTTATGTGGCAATTACCCTTACTACTTTATAGTTACTTCTTAATTACTCATTTAAGAAGATGAGGGTAATTTAATTAAATTCCTCTTATTGATTAATGCTTTGAAATCTTAGTGAATGTGTCAAAACCCTTGAACATATAGTGACTCAAGACCCTAGCATGACTCATTTGCTTTTTAATACCAATGATGCTTTTAGTTGTAATCTAGTTTAGTGGTTAGAGATCCACACTGGTTGGGTGATGAACTGGTGATCTTCTTATATGGACTTGGATAATCCTCCCCGCATGAACTAATTTTTGGGTTCAGTGAGGCACATGTGTCATATCTTTATATATAACTCAAGCCCAAAAACTAGCTTATGAGAGGAGAATTGCTCAATACTATCATATAAGGAGAGTACAACCTATCCCCTCAATGTGATACTTAACACTCCCACGGCACCCTCAGGACTCAACTATAGAATGGATTACATTGAAAAATACAACGATGGTGATTGATGAGTCTGGCTTTGATACCTTGATCTTCACATGACTCTTGGGAATGTGGGACTTTTTTTTTTTTGGTTAAAAAAAGATTTATTTATAAATACTATGCATCCATACAAATCAGGTGACTACTAAAATCTACTATCAGTAGAGCTTGTAGGTACATTACTACATGTAGTGCATAGGGATTCTACCACAACTGATGAAAGTAAAGAGACACAAATGTAATGCACTCCAATTGACATAACATGATACATAATGTGACATATAATGCATTTTTATTAATATTAAACTGTCACATTAACACTTCACGTATCAAAATACTTCAAAAATAAAATCAAACGTTATAAGATTGGAATTTTGTTTCGTTATATTTAACCTTTTTATGATAACATATTTATTGCTTCAACTTGGACCTTCATAAGAGTCAAAGATAAAAATAAAATAAAACTTTTTTTAAAAGATAAAATAAAATTAAACTCAAAGTTTATCGAAAGACAACTGACGAAATTTCCATATTCAAATCTTAAAGATAGAGTACTTCCTCTTCAAACTTAATCTTACCTAACATAAATTTAAATGAGCCGAATTAGTAAATTAATTAATTATAAAAATAATACTTGACCAATCTAATAAAGTGGATACTCACTATTAGGTGAACACTCTAGTATGAATGCAATTTGAAACATATTTTAAATTAATTAATGGATATATATATGGAACAAAACCTAACAAAAGTGCACCCACTTGGTTCACAAATAAACTTTATTCTATTTTCTCACTTTATTTTCTTCCAGTGTCTTTCCTATTCAAAGCCATCATTTCTATCAACCTTCCTAATACCCTATTTAAAAAGTCAAATTAAAAAACAAAACAAAAACAAAGATGGAAATCACTTGGTTGGTACTATATATTTAGTTGTTAAGTTTGACTCATACTATGTTTTGACCAATTAATATTGACCAATATAAACAAAATCTTATTTAAGATAAATTCAAAAGTTTTATAAAAATATATTCGTTCATAACTTATAATAAAATTAATTATACATAATCTTCCCTCCATTCACTTTATCAATTATTCCTAAAATATATTTTCATTTTTATTTGTCACTTTTAACAAATCAAGAAAATATAATTTTTTTTTTCATGTTTTACTATTAACATTAAATATTATTCTCCAAATCATTCTTGAGGATCTAATACTAAACATCAACTAATACCTATGTCACTAACTAATGACAAGTGAAAATGAACGGAGGTAGTACATACCGTTAAACTTCAACAACCACCATTTTAGTTTTTTCCTAGCAACCCCCTCTCACATATTTTGTTTACCAACCATCATTTGTTCCTCTCTATTTATACTCACCACATGACATCTCATCTACCACAACCAAAACAAAAAAAAGTTTTATAATTTCACAACATTTTTTTTATATACATACAACTAAACTCCAACCATTTTATCTTCACTAAAATTTCTTCATTACAAATATAACCATTTCTTGATCCAATGGCACCATCAATTGCACAAAATGGACATATTAATGGAGAAGTAGAAGAAGTGGCTATGGATTTGTGCAAGAAATCAATTAATGATCCATTGAATTGGGAAATGGCTGCTGATTCTTTAAGAGGGAGTCATTTGGATGAAGTGAAAAAGATGGTGGATGAATTTAGAAAGCCAATTGTGAAACTTGGGGGTGAAACTTTGACTGTTGCACAAGTTGCATCCATTGCAAATGTTGATAACAAAAGTAATGGGGTCAAAGTGGAACTTTCTGAAAGTGCAAGGGCTGGTGTGAAAGCTAGTAGTGATTGGGTGATGGATAGTATGAGTAAAGGTACAGATAGTTATGGTGTTACTACTGGATTTGGTGCAACATCTCATAGAAGAACAAAAAATGGTGGTGCTCTTCAAAAAGAACTTATTAGGTAAACAAACTACTTTTTTCGTTATATACACTGACAACGTAAAGAATTTTATATTTTTTGTTATATATAGCTTATCGACTACCTTGAGTACTCAATCTTGGGCCATAGACATCATATGCTCCATTAGAAAAGTTTTTTTGTTTTTTTTTCTATGATGACACACATTTTTATGTTCCTTGTTTTCTAGCTATAGCATTCTGAACCATTGTTGATTATAAATTTAGCTAAGTAACAAATTTGATTAATTGCATTATCTAAACTTAAAAACAATATATAGTTGGTACTCCAATGACAGCTGCAAGATTTTCAGTAAACGAGTTCGTTATTTATTATTAGGATATGCCATCGAACTTTGAGAAAAAGGCTCATCTATGTCATCCGTTTAAAGTTTAGCTCATTTATGCTATTTCCGTTTAAGAAAAGCCTCATCCATGCCATTATTTGTTAACTAAAAAAGTTTCAATGCCATATTTGAGCCAAATAAAATTTTACTTTGTATGTATAGAGTGATATTACGCATAGATGTTTCGGATGAATTAAGTTAAAAATGTGATCTTGATGAATATGATATTTTTGCAGGTTCTTGAATGCTGGAGTTTTTGGCAATGGAACAGAAACATCTCACACATTGGCACATTCAGCAACAAGGGCAGCTATGCTTGTTAGGATCAACACTTTGCTTCAAGGCTACTCTGGCATTAG